TTCTTTGAATGTCCGTCTCGGCGTCGGCCTACCCCGCGAACTACGGTATTTACAGCCGCCTCCCGAACCCGACAACGGAGAATGGCGGGTCTTTGGCGATAGGTACGCCTTGAAAGACGAACTTCCGCAGCTCGATGACGGAGAGATCCGCCGGCTATTCCCAGACCCCGATGAGAGAGACCAGGATGGCAAGCACTTCGACCGCGCCACCATCCTCAAGCGATTAGCAAAGTCACTACTATTAAATTTTCTCGAGCTCACGGGTCTGTTGGCCACGAGTCCTGAAGCGGTACGTCACAAACGGATTACTTTTGATTGTACTACGAGATCTTCCTCTAACGTCAAACAACAGGCCGAGGGAAAAATTACAGACCTTCGAGATTTATTCATCAATTTCCACCATCTTATCAACGAGTATCGACCACATCAGGCTCGTGAGTCCCTCATCACTATGATGCAGTCACAGTTAGACAGGACACGGGCCGAGACGAATGCCATTCGCGACGCGAAAGACAAGGCCGAACGTGTCCTCGAAGGACTGAGTAGCTTGACCATCGAGGACCAGGTTAACGGTACAAGACTCGAGAAAGACGATTCTTACAGCTCCGATGCCGATGCTTGGGCTATATTAATGGAATGAAATATGGAAGGAAAAGAGGAGCTCTGTTTTGTCAGATGGGCAACATGGTGGTTTGGCAAGATACTTTGAGGCGTTAGTGGTATGTAGGATGATTATTGACAAGTAAACGACCTGGCGTATGATATGGAAAACATAGATTATGATACCCCTAGACTTACTTAGTCGGCACAATGCTGACAAAAGGTGCAATACATTGGAGCTACGAGATAACTATCGCATCTGTGGAAATGAACATCACCAAAATCATCCGTAAGCGCTCATAGTCGTCAGTCGGTCTCTCCAGCTCACTCTCTACCGGTTCTAGTTCCTCAAGCTGAGTTATGGGGCTAGTTAGGAGGAGGATGTAGGTATGATGTGCTATACCATATGCGTTAAATTGCACTACCGCTAAATAATATAGAGTCCATTGCGATGCTTTATATCACACCTCGAGCAAACTCAGCTTTTGCTCATAAGGAGAGTCTTTTTTAAGTTTGATATCGCTACATCAAAAAGTAGCTGGTAGGGTCTAGTAGCTCCGGCTTACAATTAGAGCAACTTCGGATTCACAACCCACAGAAGGTTCTCGAAGACAAACTGAGTCGTTTGAAAGGGAGGAATAGTGACGTGTAGATCTAAGTAGCTTTTATAGCATTGTGCAAAATCAAGTTTCCTCGATACTCCCACTACTAACCAGTTTACGAAGTCGGTTGCTAATTTAGGTAAACGACGACTTATTAGACCTGGACGCCTTATGCGCAAGTAAATAGTTGAAACCTACTAAGGAGTCTGGTCATATCCCTTGATCGATGCTTGAGTCTATAACTATACAACGCATATTTTCCCTCTCAGTACCCATTGCCGCTTGTTACATGTAGTCATTTTAAACGATATCCCTTGCGTTTCGTCCTCGTGTTTCGTCCTTACGTTGTCGATTGTCTTAGACGGTCTCTATGACTGTACAACACGAGACTAGTGATTTCGTTGTGTAAGGGGTTCTAAACTCTTAGTCTGTAATCATAAGCTATAAAGACACCACCCAGTTTTTGAAGTATAGAATCATGAAAACTCCCTTACATTTCATACACCTATAAATAAGCGCGGGCCGGCCCCTTTTTCTCCATTTCCCCACGCCCCTATCTAGACACTGTCCAGTGCGATAACCTTCAAATTCTCGTCTTTGAGCCAAAAAAAAAAAGCCAACCTGCTTATCGAAGCACCAAACAACGATGTCTCAATCCGTATGCCCTAAAAGCTTTGCGTCGCGATTTACGCGGCGGACTGATACAACCCGAAAGTCTCTGACACAGATGCAGCGTGAAATGGAGACATGGAGACGGCAAACAGGAAGCTTGACTTCCAAACCAGAAGGGATCTCTACCGCTGCTCAGATAAATTTGGGGTTTCTATATAATGTTATCCCTCGCTACCATAGCTTGCAGACACTGAACTGCGTTGAAGCCAATATAAAGAATCTGGATAACCAAATAGAGGAAAAGAGGGATGGATGGATGCAACTCGCCGAAATAAAGACATAATCACGCAAGGGACGGAATGGGGCTGGCTCAAACAAGCTAAGTCTACTACATAAATGACTTGAAGGAGGGAGAAATATACGCTTGGGATGTTGAGGGCGATTCGCCGAGAAATTCGACTCTGGAGCTAGCAAAGCGATGGCAAAGATGTCGACCCGCGGGATGGAAGAATATACGTGAAGAATGGATAGACTGCAAGTATTATTTTTGAAGTTGTGATTATGGTTTAAATATATATATGCCAACCGTTAATACAACTACTTGGGGCGAGACCGTATAGTCCTATGTAGGTATCACACAAATGAATTCAAGATCACCGAGATCATCAGATCCATGCACTTGCTATTCGTTGTCGGGGAATGGAACTGCAGTGCTATTCAAGCATTGATAACAAAGTCGAACATTGTCGAACCGGGACCGACTATCTATAGTTCTCATACATCCAAAGGCTGTGGCACTCACCTTGACGACCCATGAACGCAGAGACGGGCCGTATTCTTCACTTCTACATGGCTTTTGCAATTGAGAATGAGGAGGGGCTCTTGATTATGACAGAAAATAGCTGAAGACAGCAATGGCTAGTTAGTCACATATTATGATAATCCCTTGTAGCAAAGCGGCTACAGAGACACCTCGCCCTTAGCCACACATGTACTCAGTTTCGTTCAAATCTATATCCATATCCAATTGCCAAGTTCTTCTATATCACGATACTACCCTTAGAACAAGAACGTAGTTCGTATATAGTCTAGGGATAGCTTTTAAGGGACTTAGCATATTGTGCAAATACATCATTCATGATTCCCATACGTGGATGGCTGTTCTCCAAACTTTGTTACAAGGTATATCCCGTGATATATTTGACTAATAAATCATTTGTAAAGACTACGCATTTGGGGTACGGGAGCGTAGGGATGAGCATCTTTTTACCCGAGAGGCATAGCAAGTCCCCTGCAGGAACCTAGCACAAGGGGCCCCAGAAATATCCAGGCTCACAAACATGTAAAATGAAGCGCTTCACGGTCATCGAATATATAAAGTCTAACTCTCAACCCATTCTCCCCTACTATAATACCATCTTCCCCAAACCAAAGAAAACACTCTATATTTTTTCAGTAGCATTTACTTCAAGGCGCACAACCAATATTTTTCGACATACCACCAACCTAATCTTTAATATCCGAAGATTCTCTATCTTCCCATATACCTATCCGGCCATCATCCTCTCTACGAGTTGATCGACCTGAAAGTTTTCGTACAGTCCCCATCTCACCTGATTTTCCATCCGCCGCGCAACCATGTTCAACAACGGGGAAGATGTGTTAGAGTATTACATGCGGCGGGTTATAGAGGTCAAAGATGACCTGTTAGCAATCCAGCTTGAGATGACAGCATGGAAGCAAATTCTAGGGGATGGAGAGAGCGACCCAGTAGAGATCTGGGGTTGTGCGAAGATTCACCTAGACGTGGCTGAACATCTCATGGAAGTTATGAATTGGGAGGAAGAAGGTCCGGTATCATCCCTATGCGCACTGGAGAGTGCGGCCAAGGACATGAGGGTCCAAATCGTAGATTCTGTGCTGGGGTGGGTTCGTCATCGCTACCAATTGCCTGCAACCGAAGACGATAGTGCAACCGAAGCCGGTAGTGATTATGAGAATTGACGTTCTCCTCTCGCCGGTGGTGTCGTGGGATAGTGCTGTAGTCCCATTTGGTGGCGGTGCTTGTGTCGCTAGTGGGGTTCATCGGCATTAGTTCCCTGCAGTAGAAGGAACATAATATGGGTGGAAGTGATGGCTTTATTGGGAAATGGGATTCTAGATGTCACGGTCGTCAATGCTAGTGGTTCTAGTATTGTTACTACACAGAACGAAAAGTGTTATCTGTACTAGTAGGAATTGCCTACCTAGTATATTTACATATCACAGTTCAAGGCCCTTGCGGCGTCACTTTTGACTTCCGTATCGTTCTATGGCACTGGGGCCGGGGGGGATCGTGATAATGTTACTGGTATATGTAATTTCATGGCCTATCCGTGGGGTAGCTAGAGTGTAAGCGGTTATGGGGAACGACGAAATATTAATCATCTAGATACACCATGTTGTTGACTTGCACAACACTTAGTATGTTAGTGGGGATGATTTTTTGTTGCCTTTATATTCGACACCTATATAAGTCCTTAGATACTAATAGGAAATAACATACCTAGAAATGTCCTAACTAAGGCTATTTTGGAACATTTTGCTACATAAGGCTTCATAATAAATTGAGTAGATGTCGAATAGTAAAAAGTAATTGGTACTACGCAGGTTATATTTATTGAACGGTATGCTTTGCTGATTCTTTCTTGTCTTGGATAATACCAACCGCATCGTACTACGGTAGTGAGTTCTGGAGGTTATTGTTCCTGATTTCGAACGTAGCATATAATGTTTCTTTCTGGTTGATGGTAATTTGATAAGTGGACGAGTCCGGGGAACTTAGTCTCATAATATTTACCAACAATAACCGTGTATATTTTATGCTGACCAGTAACGGAGCCAAGAGTTTTGGATTGTTATAACAGGGCTCTCTAGCATACCTGGATATACCTAATGAGGGCTTATTTGTATCGGCTTTGAAAAACAAAATCTGGTGTGTGTCTCTTAGTAGAGGGTGTTCGACATATACATCTACTTTAGCTAGAATATTAGAATATAGGGGAGCTATACCAACGTAGCCGTATATATACATTATTAGCTTAAGAGTTAGCAATAAATACGCAAACGCTTAGTCTAACAGCGCCAAAATTATGCACCCCCTAAAAAGTGACACATACCTAGAACGATAGGGGAAAAAAAGGTAATCTCTCGATCGGGGAATCGAACCCCGGCCACCTGCGGCTTGTTTTAATAGTTCGTATTTTGTATCCACACCAGGACGCTAAATAGACCTTCAATGACAAGCAGGTATCCTGACCACTAGACCAATCGAGATTTGCTTTAATTTGATGTGAGGTGTGCGAGGAGAATTGTCACGGAGAAGTGGGTCTAACAGATCCAGTATGTGGAGGGATCGGGTTAACTATAGACCTAATGATCCCTAGTATAAATAGGTCTTTTTCTTACACTAGTTACCACTTAGAACTTAGACCTTAGATCATCTGAATACACTACTATCTGATCGCTTCTGGTGAAAGCACTGGTCAATTCCTTCCAATAGATCAATCTCCACTTCTCCGAGAGGAATAGCCTTCAAAATGTAAAAGTCAAACAGGAAATAGAGTTTCCTCCCCCCACAAACCCTACGGGAAGGCAAATAAATGATAAAAGAGTGAGGTATATGCATGCGGCGGCTAGATGTGTTAGCACCCTTTTCAAAATTACTCAACAACATATATAACCGAATGGCAGGCGAACCGTTCAGAGGACCCTATAAAATAGAATAATGTAAACTATGGAATGAATGCCTTCCCCATTTACTCTTAGGGTTCTTTGATGCCGTAAACAAGCGGAAGGTAGCACATATATTTAAAATCTATGTAGGTGTGTTTTTAGAATCCTCAATACTAACACCGCCACGTGTTTACCTACTCAACTGCTCGAAAGGGTGCATATAGAATGTGACAAGGGATTATGTTATAGGGCTTGGATCATGGTCAATTCGGCTAATAATTGTCTTGGCTCCATGGCTTTTCCTAATCTTCCTTGTTGCTAGGTCCTCGTGTATTCGAGGTGTAGGTAGGTGACTTCTTATACTCAATGATCCCTATCCGACTTATCTCTATTGACTAGGATGATCTTGGCAGTCCTGGCCGTGTAATAGGGAATGATGAGACAAGTTGTTATTTTAGTTCTTAATTTTTCTCTGGAGCTTATCTAAGCAGGAAATATACATCTTTCGGCTGTTATGCCTTGAGTTGCACTAGAAGGAGAATCGCGAGAATTAATCACTACTGAGTGTTAGGTTTTTGATAACTACAATTCCCGAGGACTTCCAACTACACTGCGAGATTAATTTGAAACTTAGCCTAAATTTGATTAAGTGTTAGTCGTTGGTTTTCAGATTATATTAAATAGAAGCCTTCTGTTTTATAAGTACTTCTTGCACGTTTTCATTTTTCTAGGAGTCCATTATCACGGATATTTCTAAGATATGCCTCACCTAGCACTGCATAGGTTCCACCACCTCGTGGTCTTGAGATATGCGGAACCCTGTTATTTATCACAATTATAACGATATAGCCTTGCATCGTTTGATTTGGAACCAAATCTGTGAACCCCTTTTTCGTTATAGCGAATTGTCTTTCCGAACTCGTCATATAAGGTGCGACTTCAAATTGTCTAACAATATCGGTCTGGGATTGAGTTACTACCATTTCTTAACCTCCAAGATAGTGCGCACTGATACAAGCCTCACGGTGAATTAGCGAGGTCTTTCGCTAGATATCTCGGTTTAGGGAGTACCATTTCTGTGCCGCCAAACTCAGGCTCGCGCCCCTGAGCCGTCACAGAAGTAGCATAGAGTTCTTCCGCATTGGCGATTGGAGCGTGGGTTGAAATGGACTTGGACTGAGCGAATGATTCTGCGGCCATCCAAGCAGAATATTCAACAACCTGGGTTGGCTCAACAGTTTGAACAGTACGGTGGGCGAGAAACAAGCGTCTGTTATATGTGCATCCCGTATATTTATGCACATAAACCTATAACTCAAGCAGGGTTACATAAACATAAGTGGCACAAGTTGAAGAGGGGCACTGACTGAATCTCGAATTGGTCATTTGTAAGAAAATGTAAGAAAAAAAATAACTATAGAATTGTTAGGTTTGGGGGCAGTGTTACTCCTGCTGTAGATTCCTTGTGCCGTGTCTCATATGAATTGCTGGCGGAGTGCATTGGGTTCACAGTGGGGCCGAAGAAGTCAAAGACAGTTGATCAGGTTGCGGGGAGGAACATGTCTGTGTATGGAATGGTAGGATGCATAGCATATCCTGCTATATCAAATTATCCCTTATATCATCATACCTCATTTGTCCGGATTTAGAAACCCTTAGGTTGAAAAATATTATGCTCATATTTCTTGAGTTGGGATGCCCTAACCTAGACTGAACTTTGGAGGCTTCCTGCCACGAGATAAGCTAGAATTCTTTGTATGATCAGACATTAACTTTGTGTGTGATTGTTAACAGTGAGCGACGAATGCACAAGAATCATAATGAATATCACCGGAACGTTTCTACTCTTCTATATTACACGCACAACAAATGCACTGGCTAACCCGGCTGCTTTCCTTGGGAAAAGGATCCAGATGGGTATCTTCACGGCTACCAATTTCATCGACCCTTTTACAACATCTAATACCACCCACAGAGTCACCAAGTACAATATCTTGATGCCCCTCGTCCCTGATTGCTTGATATAAACGAAGAGACAGGCTGGGGAAGGGAATATTAAAGCATGGCTTCGAACAGCCTGCCTGATGATGTATGAGATGCAAATATGTTAAGCAGACAATACAGTCACCTCCAAAACGAGCTACTCTGCGAACCAGTGTCATCGTATCTATGTAACTTTGACTATTTGATTAACAACCCTTTTGATCCGTAATAAATGATCTCATGGATTATAATCTTATGGTTCTGGCTCTGGAATAACTATAGAGTTCCTGTCTAAGTTTCTATAATTGCTACAGCGAAACTCAACTAGAGAAAATATGAGTACTCAACGACTACACAACGAGGCGAGTTTCATGTGAGATATAGAGGCGGAGAAGATGATGTGAAGAGTACATGCCATCTTCACAACAAAACTCTCGCTCATCATACCACTCTTCCTTAGGCCGACTCTGTAGTACTGCTCTTCTGCATCTCCAGTTTTGCAAGCTCTAATACGTCTACCCAGTTAGGTGGCCGGCACTCCCTCTCTCTACATAAGGTCTCTGCGTCGGACGCAAACCGTAGAAGGGCCGACTCACTTGCCCACTCGCCCGTCGCCATAAGTCCCACAGGAACTTTCCCTGGGGTTTTCGCGTTGGCGACCGTGCCCTGACCTGGCTGGCCCTCAGGCACTACGTAACCTGCCGGCACGCTGATACTCGGGAGCCCGCAGAAATTCGCCATCCTATTTAATATCTGGAGTTAATAATTGCCCTTCACGATAGAAATTTGGAAAGGGTTTCGGAAGCTTGTAGGGGGAACATGGGTAGAAAACCCCTGATTAGGCAACTTATGCTCTCGAGACACGTTGAAAAGGCTAATAAAAACTTCGGCATACTGACCAAACATATTTCATAGTTTCCTGCGTCTGGTCGCCGTCACTGACACCATGCCTTAGTTCTGCGACAGAGCGTACCGGCCAGCCTGCGCACGCTGTTACCGGCGTGACGACGACCATGCCGGGGTACGTGTGCCAGAGCCAGGATAGATGTTGCATCAGCACACGACGCAGCTTCTGAGCGAGGAGAAAGTCTGTGGCGCGCGTCGTGCGTCCTAGTGCGAGGAGGATACGGATTGTGGGCGAGATACCACCGTCGAAAGGCGCGGCTGTTGCTGCGTCCGTGAGCATGGTCAAGGCGTGGGCTTTTTGTCCTTCTTTGACGAAAGGGATCTCGATGGGAATAATCTTGTAGTTTTTCTCGGCCGCGAGTCGCTCGATTAACTCACGGCAGAGTTTCTGGACCACCGGTGATGCCTGATTGAACCATGTTTCTGGAATGCCGATTACTCTAGGCCGGTCGCTGTTGTCATTGATCAGGGGCGGCGAGACTGCCTTGGGAAACCCAGTATTAGGATGTGGCTGACTGACGACCGAAAATAAAGCGGCCAGGGAGTTGATGTCGGTGGCTATAGGGCCTTGAACGGCACAAGTGCTGGCGTGATTCACGGCTGGCGCGTATGACAAGCGGCCGTGTGTGGGTTTGAGACCGTACACGGAGCAGAAAGACGAGGGAATCCGTACACTACCACCGGCATCACTGCCCATCGCGAGGGGTACAAGGCCAGTCGACACCGCATACGCAGAACCTGAGGAGCTACCGCCCGTATAGTACTGTTTGTTATAAGGATTTGGAGGGGTACCGAACATGGGGTTGGATCCAGAGGTATCTACCTGTGTGAGCAAAGCACAGTTGAAAATATACAATCAAGGGATACATTCTTCTTACCCATGCCAAATTCCACCATGGTAACTTTACCCATTATGATAGCTCCGGCCTCTTTGAGCTTTCCTACGGACCAACTATCAACGATCGTCTTGACATGCTCCTCGTCGGTCGGCACGATGGCAGAACCAAGGGTTGTCGCGTAGCCCTCAACGTCATACTCATCCTTGATCGCAACTGGGATTCCATCGAGGGGTCCAAGTGGGCGGCCCTCTTTGTACCGCAATGTTGATGCCTCGGCGGCTTCAATGACTAGATCAACTCGTACACCGATCCATGCTATCGAATGCTCCCCAGGAGGTGAGGTATCCCGTCGAATCAAAGGAAGTATAGCGTTTACAACAGCCAGAGGGGTAAGTTCGCGAGTGATGAAAAGTGACCGGTAGTGTTCGACGGAGTATCGCACAGGAGCAGATTCAATTAGCTTAGCGATAGACAGAGACGGAGACACCGTGTTAGTCAGGGCTGGAGTCCCCGTGGGAACTGTGGACTCGGAGTTTGCATCATCCAGCGGAATGACCGTGGGGTCAAATCGTGGCTCGACGTTCTCCAGAAACTCGCTAATGCGGGTTAATGCGTCAAATCCAGCGTTATGCCAGATGATCTCTCTCAGAAAGCCAAGGCGCTCCAGGCTAAACAGGCACCGTGTTAGTCGCTGGGCCGCAGCGCAAAGGCTTTACTAATGGTCTCCGGAGGAAATGAGGCCCGGGGAACTTTACACAAGGGCGCAGACCACGAGAACCCAACCGGAAAGGGTGGGGTTGCGGTTTTCAGTATCCTTGACGGGCACGGATGGTCTGGTTGCGGTTAGCTGTTCGGAGCGGTGTATCTACAGTA